CTGAACCAGTCCTTCTCCTTGGACGCATTGATCAACCAGATTCTTGTGGCTTTCCAACTATTGTAACAACCAGAAAAAATATACTTCAGGCTAAATAAAATATAACTAATTTTTCATTTGTTATACGATAAATTTTTCAAGTTTGTTGTTGATTGGTTAGAAGATAGATATAATTTCTAGAAATTCGAAGAGAACCTCTTTCTGTAGCCAATTAACAAATACTTGAAGAATTTGTCATACAATAAATGAAATATTAACTTAAAAATATATAGGATACTTTAGATCTCTCGTGATAATTGTTAATAGCAGTTTTTAATTTTATAATAAAAATCATAATATCAACAAAATTGGCGCTTATAAAAAAATATGTAGAAAAAATATATTTGCAAAAATTTACATATTATTAAACAAACTAAGATTTGTTGTGTCCAAAAACAGGATTATTTCTCTTAATATCAAAAGTATATATCAAGATTATAATAATTTCTAAAAGAGAGCTACTTAAGTTACTAAAGGTAACCATTTAAATTATCCACAAGTTCATTAAGGCATAAACATATTTTACAACAGTAAAAGCATGTGTGTACAGAACTATTATTATTAATTTCAAGAACAGAATTGATGCTTGAAAATATCTATACACCATCAGGGTGCACAAATTTCCATAATTTCAGATATTTTAATTAGTCAGTCTTAAAACACTTTACATTTAAAAATTATTATAATCTTGTTATCTTAGTATATAACTTTCACTTTAAAGTGATGTTAGGAGCCAATAACGGTTGTTGAGATTGTAAGAGAGATCTAGAACATTCTATGTTATGCTTGTCACTTACCATCTGTGCGTTTTGTAACCAAAATGAATAATTTCTTAAATCTAAAGAAAGCCTTTCCTGTAAGAGAGTCCTTAACACGGACAAGGGTTCCCTAATATCCATATGCTGCATTATAACACCTTCATTATTATAATCTCCATTCAGGGAATTCTCTAATGAGAAACTAGGCTCGACCTCCAAATCAGAACAACTTTCCTGTTGCAGCTGTGCTATGAGATCATCCTCAGAAAATATCGCTTCTGGTTCCATTTTTATTTGCCGTATCATAGTGTAATCAAAATCGTCTTCAGTATCAAAAGAACTGAATAAGAAACAGAAAGATAAATACCTCAGGATAAGATATGGATCCACAGATCAGATTATACCTAAAAATGCGAAGATGTAAGCTCTCTCGTTAACCTTTTCTCAAAATTTTTCCGGTAATTTTCCAAATTCATATCATGTCACACGTGCCCAAATCGCAAAGTTATTTACCTAGATCAATATTCTCAGCAACTCTTCAACGAGATAGTCATCCGCGTCAGCACAGCACATTTCCTTACATCTCAGGTCAGAAAAAACTTGAAAATAGTTATCTCAATGTTTTTCATATAACACTCTGCTCATCAACGTTCATTTTTGTGATATGAGAACTAGATCTACACACATCTATTTTGCGAAATTGTCGATAAAATCGAAAATGAATGTAATGTCATGGTGTATGTCTGTTCTAATAAGAGCTTTCAAGATTGGTTGTAATTGACTGCGTTTAGCCAAGAAAGCAACTTTACAAATGTTGTAAAATTCTTCAATACGATTGGTTCTTGCTTTTGCTTCCTTATAGATCTAAACGTATAAACCAATCGTATTGAAGAACTTTACTCATTGCAAAACTGCTTTCTCTGTTGAACGCAGCCATTGGTTGTATAGTTTCTTCCGCCTTCTTTTGATACGGTATTTTATCTAGTGACTTTGGCCGGTATTTGTAGTCCGTTCTTATTTCCGTTTCTTATTTCAAAACTGGAAACTCTTAAGGAATGTCTTAAGACGCTAATACGGCTCTCTGATTGGTTCGTGACTTTTTAAGATTGTACTTGAGACGGTCTTGAATTAAGATTCGATTATGAATACCGGCCTTTAACTTACTTTAATTGCAAGCGACCATGAGTTTGCAGCACTGCTACAACATTTATTTCCGAGACGATCGTGACTTCCGTTTCCTTCTCTATTTTGCTGCAGCACGTTGCTGAGGTATGTAGAATTGTCGGTTCGTTATTTCTACAATATCACTCTAATGATTAATTTGTATTATTCATCTTCGATCTACGATGCTGTAGTTTTATATAAAAATAGTATAAAAGTTGTATATTATATAATTATTTTGAATTATACCGAAATGAAGTTATTGATACCATGTGCCTTTAGATTATGAAAAGTTCGTTAGCATCAGAACATGTGCCGTGTTGATTACATTATATTCTTTAATTAAGCATGCAGTAAATTGATAAGAAAATTATGCGTTTGAAAATTTGAGAGACATTAGACTTAGAAATACTCACGAGAATAAACTTGTGAAATTCTGAATAATATGTAGGAAAAGTATATTTCGTGTATTTATTATCATCTGAAAAATGTATTAATATCATTTTTTATTAGTAGCAATTTTTTCTACATTATCTAAATTCAATCTTTAACCATTTTTAGTCCTTAAATTCCCATAAGGTATCCCTACCACACTATTCAAGATGGGTAGGGAGGATAAAGCAACATGGAAGTCAAATTACTTCACTAAACTTGTTGTAAGTATTTTCTTTTATATTCATTGTTTAGTTCTATAATCTCATATGCATAACCTAATAACATAAATTGCTTATAAATATAATTTATATACATATATATATATTTTTTTTTTTCAAA